TGCTGCGGGGACTGTGCTGGGGGTACTGAGGCTCTGTGCTCTGGCGCCCCAGCGGGAAGGTGGGCCGCTAGGAGGGATTCTGCCGAGTGGTGCCCATGGAGAGCCCACAAACTCAGCCTGGGTCCCCACGCGGTCCTTCCCCGCACCTCCTACCCCGGGGCCATCATCCCATGTACCCAGGAGTCCCCTGCTGCTCTAGCTCCAACCCCAAGCTGCCTCTGCAGGGCCTCTCCACTCCCAGCAGGGTCAGCAACCCCCTGTGCACCCCAACTCACCACCCTGTGGTGGCTCCCTCCCGGCTCCTGCCCCAGCTTCAGCCTCATCCCCACATCTCTGCACCTGCACTTCCTGTGCCTGAGTGTTTTTCCTGGACCCCTTCACATCCCGCAGGCACCGATGAATGGTGGTCCTTGGAGGAAACTTCTGGAATCTTGCTCTCCACCAAGCAGCTGCCCCCTCCTCACTGGACACCCAGCCCTGCTTTCCTTCCTTTCCGTTTGGCTGATGCCCTGGCCCTACCCAGCTGGGTCCCCTGCGGCATGCAGACACCCTGACTGCCCCGGAGTGCCCATGACCCAACCCCAGCTCCTGGCTGCTGGCACCCACGCTCCTGGGAACCCCCGCCCTGGCCAGCAGTGCCTGTGTGGGGATCTGTGGACGCACGGCCACCCAAAACGCAGCAGGATGGAGGGATGCCCCCTGGGTACATGAGGGATGCAACGGCACCTGGCCGAGGCCCGACACCCGGGAGCCCACACCTAGCCACAGAACGGGAGACGCACTTGGCCAGCCCTGGACTGTCCAGCAGAGGCCGGCACACAGGTAACCCGGCTCAAGCCTCCTCCCTAAAGTACCAAGAACAAACATGGGGTCCCCTCCCCAGAACCCCTCCCATGCTAAGACTCCTGAGACCAAATGCCCACGGAGAGGAAGGGATGCAAGGCCCCACTACACCACCCCAAGGGCAGTGTCCGAGACCCATGGGCACAGCTCGCCCCCAGCAGCCAAGACCAGAACTGCCCGTTGGAGAGGAGGGACGCAAGCCGCCCAGGAGTTAAGAGGGGGTGCAGGGGGTGCCCACGTGACAGATGCTAACTCCAGGCCACTGCATAGAGCTCGGACAGTGCTGGGAACCCCACGGACTAGAGGGCACAGCCCCCCAGCTGCAGGCAAAGGCCTTACGAGGGCCCCGCCCCGCACCTGTCTGAGGCCACCACGGTTATAGATGGGAACGACAGGCCATGTTGTTGGGAGCTTTATCCAAATTGCCCTTTCAGCGAGCAAGCAGAAAATGACTGTGGACCATTCACACCGCAGGACGCCACTGGGCGAGAGCAACTGGCCACCGCTGCATGCCACCCACAGAGCTAATGCCCAGGACGTCACACAGAAGGCCACCTCTGCCACGCTGTTTTCATGATGGGCCAGAAGAGGCCCACATGGCTGCCAGCCAGGGCGCAGGGCAGGGACATATCTGTCCTGTCACACACAAACCCGACTGCTGTGGGGCTGGCACCCGCGCGGGCCCCAGCTCCAAGCAGTGGTGCTCGAAGCCACCTAGGCAGTATCAGGTGGCCATGGCAGCGCTAAGGGGATTAGCGGGGCCACCCAGGAGGGGTTAGTCCCATACACACAGCTTTTCTTTTTTATAAGATTTTATTTTTATTGCAAAGTCAGATATACAGAGAGGGGGAGCGTCAGAGATCTTCCACCCAATGACTCAATCCCCAAGTGACCGCAACGGCCGGTGCTATGCCAATCCAAAGCCAGGAGCTTCTTCCGGGTCTCCCACATGGGCGCAGGGTTCCAAGGCTTTGGGCCGTCCTTGACAGCTTTCCCAGGCCACAGGCAGGGAGCTGGATGGGAAGTGGGAGCTGTCAGGATTAGAACCAGTGCCCATATGGGATCCTGGTGCATTCAAGGCGAGTACTTTAGCTGCTAGGCCACGGCGCTGGGCTCAACTTTTCTTTCAATTCCATTTTACCCGTGTGTGTGCGCACGCTGCCCACACAGGTCAAGGAGAAGGCGCCCCGACCACCCAGCAGGTGCCACCCCAGAACCTGCCCTACAGCCCCGACTGCTTCCAAAACCCTCCACGTCGGGCACGCCCACTGCACTAGCCTTGGTTCTCGCTCCAGCAGCTCCAGTGAGAAACCAAAGCAGAGCCCCATGGTTACAGGACAGAGCCTGCGGGCCCACCGCGCTGTGCGGGAGAGGCACCCACTCCCGCCATCAGGGCTACTTCCCTGCAGGTGCAGGCCAGCAGTGACCAGCGCGGAGGACCTGCAGGTGGCTCCAAACCATCTTCTTCAATTCATACATTCGACAAGAAAATGCAAGATCTGGGTACAGCAGCCATTTCTCCCACTCCCTGCACACCCCCCACCCCGCCAGGCAGCACCGGTGGGCACTGCAGGAGCTGGGAGTGGCCCCAAGGGACTGGGGGGCCCTCCCAGGAAAACTGCATCGCACTCAAGGCTGGAATCTTCCAGAAGACAAGCAAGCAGCCTTCCCTACCAAGTTCCCCAGCCCCAAACACAGGCAGGCAGACTTCAGCGTTCAATTTCTAAAAAGGTTTATTGTTTCCACAGCGATTTGTAAAAGATGATAAAGCTCGTTTGTCTTCCAGTAGAAAAGGCACAGGCACCTGTCCCAGGGCAGATGCCCCCAGCCCCCGTGGGCGGGGCAGCTGCACCACCTTGGCACCCGAGGGGTCAGGAGTGGCCGGCTGTCACAGGGCGACAGCCCCAGACGCTGAGGGCTGTGGGCGTGGGAGCCCAGAGCCTCTTGGACGCCAGGGGCTGAGGTCCACTGAGGCGGCAGTGGGGCGCAGGGGCAGCTCGTGGTGAGGCATGGGCACTAAGCAGAGGCCCCTGCCCTCCTGGCTTTGGCACAGGAAGCCCGCATTCCGGGCCAGGCCCCTGCGAACGACAGCCAGTCCTGTGCCAGCTGCGTGATTCAGGTCTGACAGGGAGGAAAAACGGACGCAGAGGTGCCCCTGGCGTCCAGTGGCCATGGGACGGGGTGTAACGCCCATGGCAACCCGGGACTGCCTGGAGAGAAGGTTCTAGAACGGTGTTCCGCTGAATGAACCTCCCCTGTGATCCCCTAGCCGGGTCCATCCCTGAGCCGGGCTGTGTGTCAGCTGCTGGTGGCGGTGGGGTCAGGCTGTGCGGTGGGTGGGCGATCTGCTGAGTCCTGAAGGAGCGGGGTGCAGGGGCTGGGGGGATGCTCCGGGCCGGCGGCGGCCAGGCTCCGCCAGCACCCCGTGCAGCCGCGACCCTGCGGAGAAAGGGGAGCTGAGCGCCGGGCCCGGCCCTGCCTCGCGCTGGCGCCCACCGCCACCGGCGCGCGGGCCGAGGGGGCGGGCTCAGGGACCACCCCGCCCAGGGGGACCCGGGACCCCAGCAGAGCCAGGAGTGCAGGCTCGTGTGCACCACGACCACAGCCAGACAGGACCTAGCGACCACAGCACCGCGTGTCACACAGAGCCGGGGGACGCAGCAGGGCACATGCACGGAGCCTACACGACACAGGACTGCGACCGAGCGCGGGCTCACGCGCATGCTCGCGCATGCGCACAAACAGCGAGGCGCACACGTGTCACACCGCGAATTCCTGGCAACCAGGGCTCGGAAGAGGGAGGGACTCGGGGCGGAGCTGGGTGGGGGCGGGGCTCTTGCGGGGCGGGGCTCGGGCCGGTGGGCGGGGCTCTGTGGAGGGGCGGGCTCCTGCACCGGGGTCGCTGTGGAGGCATCACGCTGCCTCCTCCAGCTTTGCCCTTTACAGACGTCTCAGGGTGAAGGAACTGGAAAGGAAGATGAGGAGGAGGACGGTGAACGCGCGGCCAGAGCCGCGCCCCGTGTCGCCTCCGCCTCGCTCCCCTCCTCAGTCCTTCTCCTCTTGAGCCTCTGCCTTCCTCCCCTCCTCCTCCTCACTCAGGCTGGAAACCCCCTGGCCTGCCTCACCCCAGTGGGGCCCCCCCACAGCCGGCCCTGGGCAGGGGGCTCCCTAAGGGCCCCCTGTCCAGGAAGCGGACGAGAACCCCTGTGCTGCAAGAGGGGGTTCCCCAGACAGCCCCCCGGCGCCACACGTGCAGCCAGCTGCCCCTCCTACTCTCCACTTCTTGTAGCTGAGGAAGGACTTGGAGAGGAGAGACAGCACCCTGAGGGCTGCCTGGTGCAGCTGCCCAAACTGTTCCCTGCACAGGGCCGCCTGCCAACCAGCCCGGCTGCTGGCAGCCCTCCCTGCCCTAGGGCTGCCCTCTTCTTGCCCACCTAAAAATACCTTCCAAGCCAGAGGCCATGCCCACGCAACCTCCCTGGAAGGACAGCTGGCCCGCAGCCCCGGAGCTAGGCAGAGCTCTGGGCCCAGCCTCGGCAGCTCCCCAGGGCAACATGGTTTCCAGAGGCTAAAAACAACAGCTGTTATCAGAGGCAAGCTGTATGGACTGCCACTACTCCCCGCCCAGCCCAAACTACAGGCCCTGTGGCTGGGCCTGCCACCTCCCCTGCAGGCCACCGCCCGACTCCCCGGGCACCTCGGCCCCAAAGGTGACGCCTGCTTCTCCCTCAGGCCCGGGTGCCGAGCAAAACTGGAGTCCGAGTCTGAACTTCTGCAAGCAACAAACCAGGTTTTGGCATGCGCGTGTCTGTAATTACCCGGCATGCACTTGGGCTAAAATGGACTCGTGCTTTACCTGAAATTAAGATCTCCCTGGACATCCTGTGGCTGGCTCTTGGTTTTAGTTGATGTCCAGTCTGACAACACAAAGCTAGCAGGCCCAGCCCTTAGGGCTCCATGTTGACGCCTCAATTCCCTGCTCCTGGTCTAGCACCTGGGGCTTAAACCAATGTTTCTCAAACACGGGTTCCTGGCCCTTCTACATCCCCTGGGGTCGTGAGGACCCCGGACCGTTCCATTCTGGGAGGCTGGCAGGCAGTCGCAGAATCTGAGGTTGCAAAGCACTTTCCCAGGCTGTCTAATGTGGTCACCACTGGCTGGCTCACATCATGACCTTGTCAAGGAAACAGCAGGCAGTTCGAGTTGCCCATGAGAACCCAGGGACTGCCACCTGCTGGGCCCGAGTCTCTGGTGGTTCCCGCCAGTAGAGGCTCCGGGCTAAGGTCAGGGTGAAGTTGGGGGCCATCCCCCCGAGTTCTCCTGGCTTCGGGAGGGGGCAGCGGGGTGGGCGTTACCTGGTACCCACCTACAGCTTTGCTTCTCGCAGCACAGTGCCCTTAGGGTCGGCCGTCATCAGCGATTCCGAGTAGGCCTGAACGGCCTCCTTATCCTGTGAGCCCTTTTTACTACTACTCCAAAATAAATAGCACTTCTCCTAGAAGACAACCAAGCTCGTTTGTAGCGGGAGCTGCAGCCGACACAGCGTGAACACCGACTCGGGCTGGGGGAGGCACAGAGACACCAGGCACAGAACCGGAGGGGCCACGGGCTCCGAGCCCCTGGGCAGGGCACTCCGGGAACAGGCAGGCCAAGGGGACAGTTTGTCCACTGGAAACGGGTGACAGAGGCAGCCAGGGTGGGAGGCGGGCCACTGGCTGGGAACCCGCGACAGAGTGGGCAGAAGCAGCGGCGAACGGAGCAGACAGGCTTCCTGGGAACACACTTTGCATTTCTTTTTTTTTTTTTGTTAAAGGAACTTGAAAAGAAAGTTTCTCCAAAGAGAAGTTCAAATACATTGAGTTAATTGGCATGCAATGAGAAAGAATCAGTATAAACATACGAAAACCACTAGAGCTTAATCCTGCTAAGCCAAAACCAAGAACAAAACGACCTCATGAGACCCAGTTTAGTCACGGGGCTGTGAGATCTTCAGGACTGGGGCCTGAGCCGCATGAGCAACAGAGTGACTTGGGTGGCGTGTCCCGGTGGGGCTGGCCCCAGGTGGCCCTAGGTCGAGGAGGGGACCCTGGCCAGCAGCTTCCTGTTCTATGTCCTCAGCCCTGGGCAGAAGCTGCCCTGGCCTCCTGGGTAACTTCCCTGGCAGACAGCTCAGTGACAGGCAGGGATTCCCAGCCGGGAGCTTGGCTTCCGGTCCCTGGTGCCCTTGCTGCAGAAGTCAGCCAAGAAACCGCAGGGGAGCTTGCCCTCGCTGGGCCTGGCTCTCGGGCTCAAACCCTAGAAGCCCCTCAGAGGGAGGGCTGGTGGCCCCGGCCACCTCGCCCCGTGACAGGCAACTGGGAGAGGAAATCCAGCTGTGGGCCTGATGGCCAGGCTGGGAACAAGAGAGGCTCCAGTCTCGTGGGAGCCAGCAAGCAGGAGCCCAGCTTCCCATGTGGCGGGGGCAGGAGGGCGGCGTGGCAGCGCCAGAGCAAGTGAGCCAGCGGGGAGGCAGGCTGTGCGACACACAGGCAGGCCAAGGCTCACCTTCAAAGCCAGCCTCTGGGGACCCCAGGTCCGCACTGGCAGTCATGGCCCAGCTCACCTGCCCCACCGCCCCGGCTCTCACCCCAAACCTCCCGGCCTTGCGTCCTGCCTCCTTCCCTGCCGACCAACAAGGGTGACTTCCTGGTGCCCATCTTCTCCTGCCTCCAGGGCCGGAGTTCTCCTTCCACTGGCATCCAGGTTGCTCCCACCTCCCTCACGGGGACCTCTCGCTGGGGCTCCTGCAGCCTGTCACCAGGCTGGGCTGCCTCCCTCTGCCGTCCCTGGTCACTCCGAGCTGCCCGGGCTGCCTCCCGGGGCCCGGGGTGACCTGCCTCTGCCGCCGCTCAGACACCAGCCCTTCCTTCCCCTGCTCCCTCCAACCCTGCTCCTTCAGGCCAGCCTGGCTCTGCCTGAGCCTCCCACCTGCCTCACCCCTCCCTGCCTCAGGGCCTTGGCACTGGCAGTCCCTGCCCCCTGGGGCATGTCTGCTTAGGTCACATCTCAGTTTAAACTATGCTTCTTTGAAGAGTTTTCCTGATGCTCTGAGCAGAAGTCCAGCTCCCCAGAGCATACATGTGCCCAGCCACACGACGCATGTCTGAGAACATAAACACTCCGGGTGTCAAAGACTCAACATGAAAAAAAAAATCCATTCTCAGCTGTCGGCCTGAGCCACGTGGCATTCTGCACGGACCTGGCTGAGCTCAGGGTGAAGTCACTTCTCTCCACACTGCGGCTGTCTCGGCCACGACGGGGCTCAGGGACGCAGGCCCTCGGACCGCTCCACCTGTCGCACTTCCGATTCTCCCTGTCTCCCTGACCAGACTGCCAGCTCTCTTGCCCCCTGACAGGGACCCACACGTGATGAAGAGATGATTTCACAAACAGGTGTCTCCTCAGGCCCACCTGTGGCACCCAGCCCGGGGAGGACAGAGCGCAGTGCAGCAGGGAGCGGGCGATGCAGTGGGGAGCGGGGACGCAGGAAGGACAGGCTTGAACCCCACCTCAGGCCACGCTCTGACCGCCACCTACCTGGCTGCGGACTTGGCACAGCACCGCGGCGAGCAGCAGGACGCAGCCCAGCGCGAGGAGGACGTACTGTGCGTACTGCAGCACCTTGGGCATCAGCACCAGCTGGGTGTAGAAAGTATTGAGCGTCTCGCCCTCCATGGCTCCGCTCTGGGCGGGGGAAGCATAAAGCACAGTGTGGGCCAGGGGCGGCAGGTCGCCTCTACACGTCGGCCTCTGCTTGCCCTCTTCCCTGCAAGCCCTCCTGGGTGCCTCTGCTGCTTCCAGGCACGTAGCCAGACTACATTTCCCAGAATCCCCTTTAGCGAGGCAGGGGCCACATGATCAGATAACAGCCAATGGGAGGCGGACCTGCCTTTCTACACCTCCCACGTGATCCCACCTCTTCTCCCCCCCCCCCACCCCCCGGAAAAGAACCAATTCTGAGGACCTGCAGGGAGTAGGAGTGCAGAGGGGCAGGTCTGGTGCCCAGAAGGCCGGAGTGGAAGAGTCCTGTCCCCTGCCCCTCAGAGAGCAGCAAGTTAACTTGACCTGCAGGGGCTTCCTGTCCTGGCCAGTTAGCTCACCCTGATTTAAAACAGTGAAGTACACCAAACTGAGAGAAACAAAACAACAGGAAGTAAAGTGAGCTGGGCGAGAAGGCGACCAGGCCACGGGGTCTCAGACACCCTGGGCCGGGGCTTCACCGGCCAGTCCTGCTGGCCCCCGGGGCTCGCTCCACGTGTGACACACCGGCCAGTGCTGCCGGCCCCCGGGGCTCACTCCACGTGTGACACACCGGTCAGTGCTGCCGGCCCCCGGGGCTCGCTCCACGTGTGACACACCGGCCAGTGCTGCCGGCCCCCGGGGCTCACTCCACGTGTGACACACCGGTCAGTGCTGCCGGCCCCCGGGGCTCGCTCCACGTGTGACACACCGGTCAGTGCTGCCGGCCCCCGGGGCTCACTCCACGTGTGATAGGCCCACACCCAGATGGCCTTACCTCCCCAAACCACAGCAGGGGCAGCACCACGGGCTCGATGTTTCCAGTTTGTCTGCAAAGAAGCGGAAAGAGCGAGTGAGGCTGTCGCCAGGGCTCAGGGCATGCTGCTGACGGGCCCCTGGAGGTCCCCAACAATGCTACAGAGGCAGGCTTCGGCCCGGCACCTGAGACATACCTTATGCCCCAAACGGCATAAAGACGCCTCGGGGGAACACTGCAAAGGATGTGGCCCCACTGGGTGCCGGTCCCCAGGAGCCAGAGGTCAGCTGCCTCTAGCACCCAGCTGCCCAGGCTGCTCTGGCACCTGCAGAGGCAGCAGGAAAACCTGGGCGGCACCCCCGGGCTCCTGCCCCCCCGCTTCTCTCTGACAGCCATTGGTGCAGCCCAGAGGCCTGTGAAGGGCTGGGCCCATGCTCACGGGCCTGCAACCCAGAAATCTTCCTCAGGGACTGTGTGTAAATGAAGCTGGCACATGCGCCCAGAGACACAGCTGCTGCCATTTACCCTGAACACAACCACCTCAAGCCCCGACACGAGGTAACAGGTGCAGCCAGCCTGTGCAGAATCTGGAGCCCTCCCTGGCCTGTGGCCAGATCAGCATCCAGTCTCCCTTCTCAGGTACACGGAGGGCCCCTCAAAAAGCTCTGTGTGCTGGGGGCATTGGCAAGGCCGGTGGGTGCCTCATGGGACACCCACCCCCATGTCAGAGTTCCTGGGTTCAACTTCCAGCGCCACTCCCTGTTCCAGCTTCCTGCTGCTCCACATTCTAGGAACAGCAGGTGGTGGCTCAGGACTTAGTTCCCTGCACCCACGTGGGAGACCCGGAAGAAGTTCCAGGCTTCAGATCGGCTCAGCTCCGACCCTGGTGGCTGTTGGAGGAGTGAAGCACTGGATCAAAAATCTTTCTCTTTGTTTCTCAAATAAAATGAAAATTAATTTTAGAAAGGTATGTATTTCCATTAATTTTTTCTCCAAAGTCAGCCCCTATCTTAATGCTGCTTTTGCACAGTCTCCCAGAGGCCCCTCACACGTCTACACGGATGCAGGAGTGTTCTGGGCGACAGCGCTCCAAGGGCCACAGGTGGCTGTCAACCAACAAGGAAAAGTGGTCAGCCCACGCGGCAGTGGGACCGAGTCAGCCCCGAGCCGGCATGGGGCTGGACACTGCTGGGAACCCGCTGCCCAGAGACACCAGGTGCAGACAGTGGCCCAGTCTGCGGCTCCACTGAAGGACAGGCCCGAGACAGCCCTGACTCGGGAGGGGGCAGGTGGGGCGCCTAGGACAATTCTCGCAATTGATAGAATGTTCTGAGATGCCCATGGCCAGGGCTGCACAACCCGGAACAAGTGCACAGAGCACGGAGCTGCAAGAGGGCGTGTGAATCCCATCTCTGTAAAGCTGCCCTCTTAAAAATAAGAGGCCCGTGCTGGGGCACAGCAGATGAAGCCAACACTGCCAAACCCTACGGGAGCCCTGCAGATAAGCACATGGTGCCGAGACCACTCTGCCCATGGTGTGCTGGCTGCTCCACTTTCTGTCCAGCTCCTTGCTCATCTAGGAAAGTAGTAGAGGATGGCCCAAGTGCTTGGGGCCCTGCACCCACGCGGGAGACCTGGAAGAAGCTCCAGGCTCCTGGCTTCAGCGTGGTCCAGCTCTGGCCGTTGCAGCCATGTGGAGAGCAAATCAATGGATGGAAGATTTTTCTCTCTCTGCAATTCTGACTTTAAAATAGATTAATAAATGTTTTAAAACCTAACAATAAAAACAAACACACAAACAAACAACAAAAAAACACAACTCAGCTCTCGAAACTGCACGTGGAGAGCAGGGCATTCATGGGAAGCTCTTGGTATCTTTCTGCCTCCAAGCTCTGACAGACCCTCACTGAAGGCCTGGACTGGGGCGGGGCGCCTCCCCCTCTGCAGCCCTGCCCGGCCCACTCACCCGATGCCCCTGATGGCCTTCATGTACAGGCTCAGCTGCAACTTCACGGAGCAGTTCATGGGGATCCCGGTGACCTGCAGCGACCAGCACAGTGAGGGCCCCACGGACACCTGCAGCCCACCTCTCCCAGCCCTGCCCGGGGGCCTAGGACAAGGAGATGCTGGTAATTGCGGGAGAGGCTGTGCCCACCCCCCGCCCTGGTTGTCACGTGTGCGTGTGTACCGCAGCCCAGGAGCGTGCAGCACCACTGAGCACTGGTGTACAACACACTAGGTAAAGACTGCGGCTGGGAGCTTGGCGCAGGGCGCTTGGGTCACCGCACTCTGTGCTGCAGAGCCCGGCTTCCAATCCTGCCTCTGCTCTGGAGCCCGGCTGGTGTAGACTGGGAGGCAGCAGGGATGGTTCACATTCTTGCGTCCCTGCCGCCCACGTGGGAGACTGCATGCAACTCCAGGCTCTCGGTTCTGGCCTGGCCCAGCCCAGCTATTCCAGGCATTTGGGGAGTGAACCAGCAGACGGAAGATCTTTGCTAATCTTCCCTTCTCTCTGCCTTTCAAATACAATGAAAATGAACAAAACAATGTTCAGAAGAGGTGAGTGTCCCAGCTTGTTTGTCCCAGCGATGGGGTTAGGGGATGTGGGGGTTGGGTGGATGGGGCAGGGGCTGGGGTAGGGGATGTGGGGGCTGGGGGGCCGGGGTAGGGGATGTGGGGGCAGGGCTGGGGTAGGGGAGGTGGGGGCTGGGGGGCCGGGGTAGGGGATGTGGGGGCAGGGCTGGGGTAGGGGAGGTGGGGGCTGGGGGGCTGGGGTAGGGGAGGTGGGGGCTGGGAGTTTGGGGGCCTGGGGGCAGAGGGGCTGAGGGGAGGGGGTTGGGGGCTGGAGGGCTTCTTTGATGGATCTAAAGCAACTAGTGCTTGGGAAGGGGAAGGCTGGGCCGGTCACTGCCGTAGGGCACTCTGGGACCCCAGATGGGGGTTCTCCTCTACTGGCTGGGAGCTCTGCAGATAAGCACATGCTGCCGAGACCACTGTGCCCAGGACCCCGACCTGCAGACACCCCTCTCAGGCCCCTCTCATCTGCGCTCTCCAGCGGGGCACTCCACAACCCCCGCACCATGTGACAGGTTGGGTGGAGATCTGCTCAGACAATCCAGTCCATCAGCGAGGGAGTGCTGGTCAGCGCCTCCCCCATGCCCGGGGGGGACAGCCAGGAACCCCACAACATGCTGCTGTGGTTATTATTATTTATCTTCTTTAGAAAGGGAGAGTCGCCTGCATCAGCCACTGCTGGACCCGGCTGAAGGCAGAGCCCAGGGCACACGGTTCCCTGTGTGTTTGCAAGGTGGTTTTGGCGGGGGAGCAGTGGGCGGGAGAGGGGGAGAACTGTCATTTCCTACCTGAAGGACTAACAGAACACTGGGAAGCTGCCAGCAGAGCCCCACTGCAGAGCAGCTGCCAGCAGAGCGGCTCCTGGCCGGGGGTGCCTGGGAGCAGGGTCTCAGGAGGACTCCAGGGCACCCCGCACCCCCGCAGCACAAGCCTGTCTTCTGCTGAGCGTGCCCCTGGGCACGGGGCAGGCCTTTGGCACAGAGCTAAGGTTAAACTGCTGCTTGGGAGGCCTGCATCCCACACAGACACCAGTTCAAATCCCGCCCCTCTCCCTGCTAATGTGCTTGGGAGGCATCAGATAAGGTCCAAGTGCTTGGGCCCCTGCCTGGAGCTCCTGGCTCTGGGCCCCGGCTCGGCCCAGCTCCAGCAGTGAGGTCATTTGGAGAGTGAACCAGCAGATAAATGAAATCTCTGACACTGCCTTTCAAAGCAAATAAATAGAGCTTTCCAAAAACAATAAAAATAAAATCACGGCAAGCATGGAAGCAGAGGATGGCGACGAGCCTGGGGTGGGAGGGCAGGGCGAAGGGCACAACCTGTCCCTGACTCAGGGGCACAAGTCCAGCAGCAGGGTCACTGTGTGACCGAAGCCCTCCCAGCCTGGGTGTCCCAGTGTCCCATCACAGCTGAGTGCAGGGCAGCGGGGAGGCACACACACACGTGTGCCCACAACGCAACGGCACGCCAGGCAGCAGCTAAGGGACACGGCGGTCAGCCCTCAGTGCAGCTCAGGGACCGGTGAGCCAGGGAATTTCCAAACCCACGGGAGAGGCCAGCTGGGGACTCTGACTGGGCGCTGGGCAGTGACAGAGGGGCCTGGAGGAGAGCGGGGGTACGCTCCACCGGCTGGTGGCAGGCCCTCACCGGGCGCTCCCCCGGGGCCCTGGCTGCCCTTGGAGCTGCATGTGAGCCAAGCACCCCAGAACCAGGGTCCCACTCCCTCTGCTATCTCAAGATCTTTATGGTGCCTCGACACTGCCCTGGGACTGCTCCGGCTAATTTGCAGGAGACACACCAGGCTGATAATGCCTAATTAATTTACTGTCTTATGGTCCTTTTATAGACCCTTACGAGGGACAATAAAATATGTGAACTATGGAGTTGGGGTACAGGAGGGCTCTCTGATGGCTCTGCATCCTCGAAGGCATCCAGGCTGGGGAAGCCCAGCCCCCCAGCCCCCCGTCCCTGCACTGGGGGTGTCCCACCACCAGCCTGCGGCCTCGGGGCTCACCGGGTGGATGTCCAGGAACAGTGAGTGCTCCTCTTCATTGGGGTGGAGGCCGAGCACTGCTTCCGCGAGGACTGGGTCGGCGTTGTAAAAGTGAGGGTGGGAGAGAAACAGGGGTGCATCTGGCAAGCAGAGGGTAGAGGGTGAGTCACGGGAGGGGGTGGCAGCAGCGTGCCAGCCCTAAGCTGGGTTCCAGGGGTGCGCGGGGGGGGGGGGACGTGAGAGAGAGCCGGCAACAGGCAGGATGCATTCCTTCAGCGGCATGGATGCTGGGCAGGCCAGGAGACACACTTTTCCAGAGGGCAGAGGCAGGAGGGACCAAGGCAAAGCAGAGAGCTGGTATCCAACAGAGGCTGGGCATAGTGGGCTCTGCTCTCCCCCCCTCAGCTTGCAGGTGGACACAGGCAAGCGTGAAGAGGGAAGGGCGAGGCATCCACACAGCCAGCGCCACACAGACCCGGCCAGCCAAGTCTCCCCCACTATCCCGCCCAGCACAATGGACCGCAGGCCGGCAGCGAACAAACTCACAGAGCCGTGGGGCAGACCAGAGGGACGGGGCAGTGTCGGGTGTGACAGCTCGCGGGAGCACAAGTGACAGCCGCATAGCTCTGCAAATCCCCCAATCGCCATGGAATTTACCCTTGTCAACAGTGGCACTGGGGTGGCTCGACCGAGCAGCCGAGAGGCATGTTAGCATGCCAGAAGCCCACAGCACCGTGGGACATGGTGCCTAGCCCTGGTCCCCGAGCCACAGCCCGCTGCGGACACTGCCCGGCTCACTGGCTCCTGCTTGCCTGGCCCCCTGCCACCCAAGTGGGAGACCCGGATGAAGTTACGGCTCCCAGCTTTGGCACCCAGGCATTGCTGACATTTAGGGAATTGGTCAGCAGATGGGCTCGCTCTGAAATAAACAAAACAGTTTCAAAGATCAGCGGTTGTTTTATGTTTTGTCAATAATCACTTCAAAGGAAGAAATGCAAAATATCGGGTTCTCCATCGCCACTCCCCACTTTGCTGCCAGCTGGGTGACGGCAGGTACACCCATGTGTCTCTCACAGCTTCGCATTCCAGCTTCTCGCCACCGTCCTTGGCAAAGCCCAGCGTGCTGTGAAATCAAGGCTGGGATTTTATCCACGTCTGACCTCATTTTCTCAAATTCCTGCTACATTCCTTCCTATCCATCCTTCGTTGCTGCCACATCCCAACATTCCTGGCACTTCCTGGATCACCACCTCGGTCTTGCTTAAACACTAAATGGTAAACAGGAGCTTGCCTCAGGGTCAGACTGGCAAATGGGGCAACAACGAGAAAATACTGGAAGGACACAACAGATAGGGTGGGGAAAGCGCCCCCTGGGACACCGCATCCCCTGTCACAGTGGGTTCAAGTCAAACTCTGCTTCCAGCCCCAGCGTCCTGCCAAGGCCCTGGAGAAGCAGCAGCAATGGCCTGGGTTCTTGGGCACCTGCCACCTGTGTAGGGAAGCCTCGACCAGCTCCCAGCTCCCAGCTGTGGCCTGCAAGAGTCTTGAGTGTTGTGGATAATTGGGAGTGAGCTAACAGGTCGAAGACCTCCCTCCTCTGCTGGGCTGTTTCTGTCCCTGTGCGTTGCACATGAAGTGAAACACTTAACCACAACAGCAGTTCAGGAGTGTTGTCATCTCCACCGGGACTCCGCTGCCTGCATGTGACATTGACCTTGAGGTCTGAACTCTGTAGTGCCAGCCACCAATGCGTGTGAAGCCCACCTCAGGCCCTCTCTGAACCAACCAGGACTACTGCTGGGGCCAGCGGGGTGGGTGCCAGGAGACAACGGATGCTAGCTGAGCAACAGCTGTCTCCCCTCTGCCCACCTCAGCCTCAAACAAGACTATGGAGCAGACACAAAGACCCCGGGCAAGGCAGCCCTGGTACTGGAGAATCCATGGCAAGCCCCACCTCCTTGTCAGGGCAGCCCAGAGTCGCCAGGGCCACTGGGCAAGATGGGAGCCAGGCGGGCGTGCAGACACATGCTTCTTCCCTTGTTTCCAAACACCCGAGAGAGACTCACCCGGGCAATAAGTATAATTAATTTATAGCTTTATGGTGCATCTCACCAGTCTTAATTGGCAGGATTACCTGGGTGATGATTAAGGGGCCCTGCTGGGCCAGTCCAAGGCCCTCGAGGGACAGGGCAGGTGGAGGTAAGGGACTTCCTAGCGACCAAGAGACTTTCCATAGCCCAAAAGGCAAACATGCGAGTGTTTTTAGCTTCGGCCACAACACGACGGCAGCACAGACCCAGAGAGTGGGCCGACTGGCCTGTGCGAGAGGCAGGAACCAGGGAAGGATGAGGAAGCCAGGGGCGGGGCAGGGTGCACCCTTGGTGGAGAACTGCTCCACGACCCAGGGGATGTGCTACAGCCAAGCCCGGGTCATGCATGGCCTGCGTCCTCAGGATACGGTGCCAGAGACAAACAAAAGGGTGGCAGGAGGATGCCGTGGGAGTCCATTCACGTGAAGACCAAAGCCAGGAGTCAGGAGGGAGGGACCTGGAACCCCAGCTCCCTGGGTGTGTATCACCTGGTGTGCTACGTTAAGCCTCTGCCTGCAGTGCTGGCACCCATATGGGTGCCACTTCAAATTCAGACTGGGCAAGCTGCAGAAGATGGTACCTGGGCCCTCACCACCCCTGTGGGAGACCCACAAGAGGCTCCTGCCCTGGATTCTTGTCACCCATGTGGGAGACTTGGATGCAATTCCAGGCTCCTGGCTTCCGCCTGGACGAGCCCCAGCTACTACAGGTGTTTGGAAAATGAACCAGCAGACAGAGGTGCTCTCTTTCTCCCTGTCCCTTTCAAACAAATAAGAATAGATTTTAAAAATAAAAGCCTTTAGCTAATAAGACATTTCCGGGCACCTGAACCATTCTTCCAGCAGCCATGCTAGTGAGAAAGTGGCATGGTGCTCATGCCATCCTCTGCACGGATGAGCACGTTTCCTTCCATGTCTCGGGGTTCTTGCACCCCGATTTAGACAATCAGTGCACTCTCTCCTTGGCTGCAGTAATGGGTTCACAGCTGAGCATGTGTGCAAGCCAGATGAGGGAGGTCCCCCCCGCAGGACTCAGAGCAAGGACAGGGCAAAAGGCAGAGAACGCGCAAGCTGCTGGGGACCCATGCTGGGCTCAGGGTCTGCACTGGAACTCACCACCATACAAACCAAGACATGCCCTTTCAGGCCTGAATCAAGCGGAGGCTGGCATGTGCCCGGGGCCACACTGCCCACGAGTGGACCCAGCGCTCTCCAGCTGCCCAGCCTGGAGCCCCAGGCCTTCGCAGCACGGGCAGAGGGCATCCCGGGCGCTTTAAGCAGTGCGGTACCTGAGGCCCCATAGCCATCTCCCAGGGCTGCGGCGGGATAGTGGCCGAGAGGGAAGCTACACCAACTTCTACTCAGACAGGCCTATCAGGCAGTGGGCACACTGAGACAGCTCACGCATAAGGAGCTTCGCGACCCAGGGCAGCTGGATGGCCGAACGGGATGGGGTGTGGGGCAGAGGGAAGGACTGGGGGGCAGACTGGCTCTCACACATCAGACACAGGAGGGGGGCTGATGTCAAGGCTACAACTGAGCGAAGCAGGGGAGGGCACACCCCAAGAGGCACCAGGGATGCCAGAGGCACTGCCAGCAGCAGGCCTGGCCGCCACACCCCTCCCGTGGGACCTTAGGGGACAGCCACAGGGGCACCCACTTCCTGGCATTAGAATGGGGGGCAGGGCCTCCTTTCTCACTAGGCCTCTCAATTGTGGTTTGTTACAAACCACAGTGTGGTGGAGGGGGACAGACTTATACCGCGGGACGGGATCAAGGCAGGCTCGCACAGAACCAGTGTCCCCTGTTCCCCCTCGCCCTGTGGAGCCAGAGGGCTTCGAGATGGGCAAAGGCGAGCAGGAAGAACGGCGCTCAGGACACAGAAGGGGGCCAGGCAGCGGGAGCCTCGAAGGCAGGCGCTGTTGTGCCCTTGATCCCAGTGGACCGCGCTCACAGCGCCCTGGGATTATCTCACACCAGCTCGTGGGGCTTTCTCAGGGCAGCAAGCCACAGCAAGGGCATTTTTCCTCAACCCATCACCCTCCCGCCAGCCTCCTTATCGGCGGCCTGATGGGATTATCAGGAGTGCAGAGGCCAGCGATCAGGCTGCAGTGAGGGCATGAAGAGCTGCCCGGCCCGCTGCCCTCCACCCCCCGCCGAGGTGACACGTACTGAACCTGCAGCTGCTGACGTTCTGAATTCCAGATTCCAGGCACGGGCAGAAGCCCTCGTTGGGGGGATACACAGAGCCGTTGGCAAACAGGGTTTTGGGAGCGACGAAGCGATATGTGGGGATGCCCTCAAATACCCCCGGCTCCTGGTAGACGAGCTTCAAGGACCTGTGGGAACAGGTGGAACAGGGTGACCCCAGGTGACCCTGCCATACCTGCCTTCCGCCTGGCTCACAGCAGGAGCCTCCTCACTTGCCCCCTCCCCAGGCTGATCCTTCCTCCATCAGCCTGATGGAGCTGCTGGGTGGGCACAGCTCGCCAGGACCCCTCAGCCCTGCACACAGGGAGCACTGGAGACCAAACAGCCTTGGTGCTTTTCACAGAGCCGCTCTCCCCTGCCCTCCTGCCGGTCTCCAGCACAGGCAGCCATGCCCACACCTTCTGGGGGTCACCAGTGAGCAGAGATGCAAAGTCCATGGGGGGCATGGCAGCTGGTGGGCAAACACTGTGCCACTTCACAGAGGGCTCTTGTACCTCTGGGGCTTATGGCTTCACGGGGGAGGTGCCCAGACCCCATTCTCCCAGACCCCATTCTCCAAGGATACTGCGGGGTATCCACAGCACACCCCTGCAGCGGGCCCTGCTCACATCCTCATGCTGTACTGTACCCCACAGCCCTCCTGGTGATCCCCCAAAGGCAGTCCTTTCTGCCCAGGGCCTCCGCTCCCAGCCTCACACATCAGGTGGATCTTAGCCCAGCCGTGGTCCCCTCCTACATGGTTCATGCTGCACCTTTGTCACAAGCCACCTCAAAGTGCCAGCAGGAACTCCGTCGCTCACCCATGGCCCAGACAGGATGGCATCTCCCACATACTCAGTGTTAACACGCATCTCAGGGCGCACCTGAGGCTGGCTGCACCTACACTGGCCAGTGCCACCCATGGGTGACCTTTGCTGGCAGCAATCAGCCCCTCAGGTCTGCAGGTGTTGAAGGGACCATTTGCCGCCCACCCTTAGGGGACTCTGGGGAAAGATGGCCAGGGCCGGGGGCTAAAGAGGCGGGCAGCGGGCACTGCCCTTCTCCAAGCTTACAAACCCCGTTTTCCACTAGGTGAGCCCTCATCCCCTCTCACACGTTCGTCTGTATGCGGCCAAACAAGGGAGAGGGACTTTGCCCATCTGGTCACAGCTGCAACCCAGGGCTCCATAAAAGCCTGATGGGGACACTCGGAAGTCAGGGTCCACCTGCGTGAATTCCCAGGGGAAGGGCTTTTCCCGCAGGCTGGAACGTGGCTGAGCCCGGAAGGAGTTGCAGGGCTCTTACTGCCCTGTGGCCCAGGACATTGGACCTGTGCACTCCAGCAGGCCCCAAAGGCTGGGTGTGGAAGGGGAGGGGGAGGCAGTAGGCTTTCTTAGCACCCAGGTGGTCTTCGGTTAGCCAGCCAGGCACCAGGGAGTCAGCTCCTGCCTTCCCCTCCCAGCCGCAAGACCTGCACCATTTCCTGTCCCCAGCCCTCACCCCACCCCTACTCATCCCAAGCAGCTGCCAGCAGCCCTCCCCCTTCCGCTTTAGGCCTGGGGGAGCATTGGCCACGGGGTGGAGGAGGAGGGGCAGCTCTCCAAAGTGCAGCCAAGAGAACTCAAGATGGCACCCAGGGCAGATGAGTCCAGACACTGCCCAGAGAACACCCGCGAGACTGGGCCACGCGGGAGGTGCCAGTGGGCGCTGTTACCGGCAGGCGTCAGGGCTGTAGAACTCCAGGGCCGACTCCGGCGTCATGAATGGCGGCCACATCTGGCCGGACGTGCCGTTGATCATGTTGCACTGGTTGGAATGCCAGAAGTTGACCTAGGATCAAGCATCGGGGACACGGGCACTCAGCGTGGCCGAGGTCAGTTCCCGGCACTGGCTCGTGTGGTGCAGAGTGGCCGGGCGCCCACTGTCATGGCTTGCTTCCTCCCTGCGCACCCTGCAGTGTATGACTCTGCTGGGGACTCAATGACTGCATCTGTAAAATGGCTCTGCGCCATAAAGGTGGCAGCCAGGGGACCTCCAAGCAGAGCTGAGAGCAGAGGCAAGGGCAAGCCCTGCGTCGCACAGGACCACCTGCTCCCCTCCTCCCCTCTGCACGATTAGGGTTTCTAAAATGCATGCCAGTGTATGGTCTCCTGCTGACAAAATGGTTCATAACCAATGGGAAGCATCTCCCTGACCCACGGCTACGGCCCTCGGGGTCTCGGGTGGCTGTGCATCCACCGGCAGAGGGGACCCTCGGGCACGTGAGCCTAGGGGAGGCTACAGAGGCAAGAACGAGGAGCATCAAGTGCCCGGCCTGCCTCCGGACGGCCCAAGGCGCTCAGAACTGATGCCCTCTGGGTGCCGCAGGCACGAAGACAGCAGCGGGCGTTTCCATGTGGTGGATGGGCCAGGTGGCACAAGGGCCATGTTATATATATCTCCATTGTTTTCCTCGTTAATGGGCATGTCTTCCTGTTTTCAGCGCAGTGTTTGGAAAACATTTACGTAAGTGAAGAATCGAAGGAAGGCAGAGCCCGGCTCCCCACAGACCGGGCCTCAGCAAGCAGCCTTCTCAGCCCCCCACCCCCACCCAGCCCACACCCAGCCTCCTGGCACTCTGCCCCTCACCTGGCTGAGCCCGTTCCACTTGTCCACGAGGTGGATCCTGCTGAAGTCCTTGACGCCAGTGAACACCGTGAAGACCCCCGAGTTGGAGTTGTTCATCTGTGGACCACGGCAAGGAGCAGCACGTGTTACCTTGCACAGAGGCCGGCCGGGGCCACGAGGGCTGGGGCCCACCCAGGGCTACTGGTCTGGTGTCTGGGATCAGTGAGCACCTGGACTCACCCCTGGTGGCTGGGGCGGCCTGGCACCCCCCTCTTCCTGGCTTTCCTCCCAGGTGAAGGCAGCATCACCCCGTCCTATCCTGCCCCACTCCCAGCTTCAGCCTGGCCAGGGCAGGGTCCCAGCTCACAGCTACGGGATGAGGATTCCATTGAGGCAGGCCAGAGGCCTGCATCTTAGACACATGGAGGGCTGGGTCTGCGAGCTCTCACGCAGGCCCAGTGTAAAGCCCCACCCGGCCTCCCATGCCAGTGCGGGCTTGTCACGCTCCTGCCAAGCCCCTCACCCATCCGAGCCTGCAGAAGCTGAGCACGGTGGGAGGTGCCTGCAGGGGCGTGCAGAGGGCTCAGCAAGGGCATATGCCAGAAGCACTAAGCCCAGCACTCAGGAGCTGGCGAGGGACCAAAGCACCTATTTTTATTCATGCTCATAGACTAGAGGTTGTGGAGACTGGCAGGTGCCACTCTGCATAACCCATGCCCACCTCAGCATCAGAACCGCCACCCAGAAGGCTGCTTTGCCCAGTCTTCTTCCCTATGGGGAGGTAAGGCCACAGGACTCAGCCCTGGCCAATGGGAGATTTCTCAGTCTCCGACAGGCAGCTGGCACATGCTACTTTGTGCTCACGTCTTCCTTCCTGCTGAGCCACCCAGAATGTGGGCAGCTGACACCCTGGTACCCATGCTGGGCCATGAGCTTATCTGGAGTATGGCATGGTGACTTTCACCTGCCAAGCACTTCCCACTTCCCAAGGTGCTTCTACAGAAGCACACGGCTGGCCCCAAACACGCCCACTTCCCCACACCAGCTGAAGCCAGACAGAAGCCCCCTCTACACACACTATTGAACAAGTGAGGCCCTGGGGCAGGGGTCAGCGCGAGGGGCAGACCCTCCTGGGATCACCCTGGGCTCTGTAGCTATGCTTGGACACCACCCTGCCCCTCGCCATGTGCAGGCAGCTCAGCGTGAGGGTGTGGGCAGGGAATGAGGCCTGCCTTTCCGGGACCACTGCCCCCTCCTGCAACAACAGCCTGTCATTTCAGACCGCACCAGCCTGCACTTGGACCCACCCCCCAGGCCTTCAACTACAAAACCCAGGAAACTCCCAGGTTCGCTGCAGCCACGCAGGGCCAGGTTCCCCACCACTCACACCCACAGCCCCAGGGAAGCCGGTGACGCCTTCCAGCCACGCTAACCGGCCTCGGGACAAGGGCCCTGGATTTGCGGCTTCTCCCTGAGCCACACTTACCCCAGCAAACAATCCAAACTTGCCCTTCTCGGGGAACATGTTTGGGAAGTACTTGCTGACGAAGTTCACAAACGGGTCTTGGTAACCCCACATGATCTCGCCCACGGTACGGTTCATGAAAGCGCGCTGGCCGAGGCTGCTCAGCATCACCGTCACGAGCAGCTTCAGGGCCATGGGCTTGTCCTCCATCATGACCGCTGTGCTCTGCAGGGACACACACCGTCCTCAACCGTCACAGGCCCAAGAGCCCACCTAGGCCCACTGCTCTGGCCCAGCAGGGCCCCTGGGGTGGATGAGCAGAGCCTTAGATTGTCGCCAGCCAACCCACAAGCCTGCTGCTGAGCTCGGACTCCAGGGAGGGCCCGTTCCCGGCTGAGGGGGCCTCGCTGTACCCCGCTTTGTGGGTGATGCCTGCCCCTGCTTTCCTGTGGGTGCCTGGGGCTCGAGTATGTGCAGGGAGAGGTGCCTACGTGACTGGCCTCCAGGCCAAACCCTGGTGAGTGTCTGGCAGAAGACGTGTCACAGACTGTAACACAACACATGGTTGGGGCAATTAAACGCATCCTGTGTGACTCCATGGGAAGAAGATTCCGGAAACTTCACTCCTGTCTCCCAGACTCCTCCCTTTGCGGGTCCTGGCTGTGCTCTCGGCCCACGGGCCCTTGGCCACGAGTCCTGCAAGTCGCAGGCACTCACTGAAGCTGGGGTGGCCTTGGCAGCCCAACCCGTGCATGAGTACTGTAGTGTTTCTGCCTGGCATGGGGGGCCATTCGGGAGTCCCCGAGGCTCCCCCTCTGCGAGAATGCACAGAAGAATCAAGCGACGTGACCCAAGACAGGTGTCCCCGCCTGGGAAAGAACGAAGCTAGGGCGGCGGGCACATGTCCCACCATCCCCGGGGACGTCCCCACGCCAGGGGCGGGCAGGGAAGACCCCGGGGCAGGGGCAGGACGTGGGCGCAGGGGAAGCGACAGCCTCACCAAGGCCAGGATGTTGGGCATGACGATGTAGTCACTCTCAGAGCCCTGGGACTTGTCCGGCTGGAACTGGAAGCTGCGGGCCTCCAGGAAGGACACCGTGTCGTTGTCGTTGAAGGTGATGTTTTCCTTGTGTCTGAACTCCCTGTGGGGGCGGCCGGGAGTCACTTCCAGGACAGCAAGAGGCGCTCCCGGCCACCCCTGCCTGGGAGCACTGGGCTACCTCCCCGGGCCCGAGCACCTGGCCTCCGCACGCAGCGCCACTGCCCACAGGCCTCCCGCTGCCGTCTTGCCTGGCCACGACGGACAGCTCACCAAGGACTGTTCTTGGAGAGGACCCCTCTCTCGCCAAGGCAAGGTCTCCCCTCAGCCTGCCCCTGCGTCCCTGCCAGGGGAGCTGTGCTTCAGTTCTATCCACAAAACGGGAGCAGTGACCAGACAGGGCCATGGGGAGGACGGACACAGGGAGGCAGTTAGAGAGGGAGCCCCAAGCTGAGCAGCTCCACCTTATCGGTGCATTCTCTGCCACCAGCCGTGTCATTAGCACCTCCTGCTCTTCAGCCCACTGCCCACAAAGCCGAGAAGACACTGAGCCAGCCACGCCCTCGCTCCTTGACCCCCCCCCCCCCCCCCCCCGTGAGCCGGACGAAGTCAAGCTCCTAACTTGGTCCTCCCCAGGCGGCCCGGCTCATTCTCACGCAGGTGCTGCGTTTTCATCCTAGGTTGCGCCTTCAACAGTGGCCACCGTCTCCATCCACCCCCTCCCTGGGAATGCCAGGGCGACCACTGCCCCAGACAGGGAGCCCTGGCTCCACCGGCTCCGGCCCTGCAGGCAGCCACATGGGGGCAAGTTGGCTCTTCTCTCAGAGCTGCAATTCCTCCGAGGTGCGATGAGGGAGGGCAGGGGTGTTCCAGAGAACCCCACCCCCACCCAGGGGGAGAGACAGGTCCCCGAGGAACACGTGCGCCCCTTCCCATCCGTGCCTGGCCCGCTTCTGGAACAAGCCCGAGACGCGGTCCCCTCTGAGCCTGGTCCCCTCCGAGCCCAGTCCCCTCCGAGCGGGTCCCCTCCGAGCCCGGCGCCCGCGGCCCTGCAGCCTCACCTGTACACGTAGGGCCCGCGCTCTCGCACCTGCGGCTTCCCTCCATTCAGCACCTCCTCTGGGTTGGTCACCTCGAAGAAGTAGATGGAGAGATAGAAGGGCACGGGGATCTCCTTCCACATGTTGAAGGACAGACTGCTGGGGTCGATACGCACATTCTGTGGGGGCAGGACACGCAGTGAGGCCCACGCACCCGCCTCGCAGCTCCAAGCGAGCCTCCGCAGCCCCTCAGGCACTTCAGGACGCTGCGGCCCTTCACGCATGCATGGTCCCAGCATCAAAGTCGGCATCATTAAGCACACAGCGGATTTGTTCCAGACATCAAAAAAAAAAAAAAAAAAATTGGCAGGGGGAGGTCAGTTTGAAAATTCTGAACATCGTGATTGAGTAATGCGTGTCCCTCTGCCACAAGGCAAGGCGGCCAGGGCAGCTTGCGTCATCCTTCCCGTGCTTTGAACATGGCTTTCTAGGACAAGGTCCCCTCACCCCCTACCCTGGGGGAGGCAGGAGGCCAGAGCTGGCCACCCAGGCCTGCCCCGGGACTTGGAGGTGGCCAGACTGCGCGCCATGTTCCACGGGCCGCTTAGACCCGGTGGCTTTGGACCTGAACCTGCTGCCTTCGGATGGGCGGGGGAGGAGTCTTGGTGTCCTGCCCAGCCTTGCTGTGTCCACACTGTCTGTCCCAGAGCCAGCCACCTGAGTGACGTCACACCCACACACCCTCCGTGCCCGTGAGGTCCCGGGAGAAGGTGAGAGCCCCGGAGTCTGGGAGGCGCTCAGGACGTGCAGCTCAGCACCGGCGTGGGCTCTGAATTCAACCCGGGGCTCACCTTCCATAGAGGCTCACCAAGGCGGGAGGGACGCAGGTGAGGCCCCAAGGCCTGGGTTCCAGCCCACCCACCCCTCACCAGCTGCTGACCTGCATCCTAGCCTCATTGGCCAGCAGTATGCGTGATGCAAACCTCGGCCCATCCCAAAACCAACGTGGTGGCAGCTGCATGGTTGCGGCCACACGGAAGCCACAGGCTGAGCACCTCGAGCACGTGAGCTGCGTGTGTGTGTGGCCTGGACTTACACGGAGAAAGCTGTGTAAGAACACAACGGGCGATGAGGCCGCAGCCCGCATTACGACGCCTGGGACCAGTCCTCAGCCCCGGTCCCCCTTCCTGCCAGTGCCACGCCGGGGAGACAGCGGTGAGGAGAAGTCAGGAGGTTGCTGCGCCAAGGTCCACCCCGAGTTCCGGTTCCCAGCTTCAGTCCCAGTGGGGGCTGTCTCTCTTCCTCTCACTCATTCTCTGACTCTTAAATAAATTCACATATGCGCACACACGAGCACACTCAAACACATATATAACCTGTACCCCGAAAAATCTAAGTCAGCAGATGCACCCCAGAAAGGGGAAGGGTGGGCAGGAGGGATCCTCATAGGCCTCACTGCAATGGCTCACGGGGGTGGGCAGCTATGCTGGTGGCTGTAACCAATCAATTACACATCACTGAACACAGAGCCAGGTCCCTGTGGCCGGCGTCCACGCACAGGTGAAGCTTCTGGGCCCCGCAGCCCCACGACTGGCTGGGTCCCTGGTCTGTTCCCTGCCTGATGCTGGGGGCATCTGAGGACAAACAATCAGGCTTTCTCCTTCCCACTGGTGCTGGTGGATGAGTGGCGCGGACCGCTCTGGTCTGGTGTAATGCGTGGAAGGTGAGTGTCCCCCTCAGGGGCTGTTGTGACATTTAAATGAGTCCATGAAACCGAAATGCTGATACGCAGCCTGGCTGCCCCCGGGACATCTGGAATGTCAGCCACAGGGTGGCCTCCCCTGCCCCACCTCGGCCCGGGCGGAGGAGGACTTTGTCCCGCTTTCAAGCAGCTGCAGGCACGCCAGACCAGAGGCATCGGGTTAAGGTGTGATTAGATAGCAGCTGGCGCGGCCTTGTTCTGCACAGGCTGACCCGGGTACTGGTTCCTCCCCTCCTCCCCAGGTCAAAGGTCCCAACCCTGGAATACAAAGTTGGGAGGGAGTGCCAAGAAGAGCCCTTGTTGAACACCCCTTCCCGCAGCCAGACGCCAGGAACCCATTCCCGGCCAGGCAGGAAAGCTGCCCAGACGAGGGGACATCTGGGCTGGGTATTAAGAAAGAAAATTAGCTGCGTTGTCCTGGGTCACGAAATCGCTGGCAGAAGACACGGCCTGTGCCCACGTGCCCACGGCCTGCCTGCATGGGCGCCACTACGAACATGGCTTCCATGCAGTGGCACAGGGAAGCCCCACTTGTGTCTGTTGATAAACAAGTCACACTACATGCGGGAGGCTGCTCGGCCAGAAGGGACCAGCTCACCACACGTGCCGCAAGGCCCTGCCCCGAGCAACACAGGCCAGACCGAGAGCATGCGTCACGGAGGCCTGCGTGTACGGCCTTCTGGGGAAGGAGAGGTGGGGACAGAGAGCGACACGGGGCTGCCGGGGGAGGCGGGGGGCTGCACCAGGTGGCTCTCGGGGCTCAGAGGAGTGCCCTGCCTCCTGATTCGGGTGATAAGATTCAGAAGGATGGGCTGAGACTTGGCACCTGGGACAGCTGTGTTCTTCAACAATGCCTACTTCACCTCCAGGCTGTTCTGTTCCGGGCCCAGCTCCCTGCGAATACACCTGCGAAGGCAGTGTTGGGCCCGCAAGGAATTTTTGGCTCCTTGCTTCAGCCCGGCCCAACCCTGGCTGCTGGGAAGTGAACCAGCAGATGAAGAGCTCTCTCTCTTTCCTTCTCTTTCTGTAAAATTTACCTTCCAAATAAATAAATAATGAAATCCCCATGGCCTGCTACGCTCATATTTACTGCCATGAAAGAAAGCCGAGGCTATTTGGGGTTTTATAGAGACCCCGTTAGTACCCCTAGCGTATAAAGGAACCGCATTGGGTCAAAGACAAAGAACTGGGTTTACTGTGGGATCCCATTCACGTAAAGTCCTGGGGTATGCGGGACTGGGTGTCCACCAGGGTCAGAATGGTGGCCACCCTAGGCTGCTGGGCTGGCTCCCCCAGAGAGCTTCCTGGAGGAGCTCTGATCCTCAGGGGGGGGCACTTTGCCCCAGCTAGGCTGCACACCGGTGGGATCGTAGGAGGGGCCGGGCGCGGGCCGCGGCGGGCTCCGCCAAGCGTGACTCCCAAGGCACAGACACAGCAAGCAGCAGAAGCAGCTAAAGCATAACGCAAGGATCATGGGACACACTTCCTCCCGCCTGCCAGAGCGACCGGCACTTCTCTTCCCAGAGAGAAACACGCGTCAACAGACGTGGGCCTGTGGGACTCGGAGCCCTGCCCGTGGCCAGCAGGAGCGGAGGGTGGCACGGCCACCCCAAAAACCAGTCTGGCAATCCTTTGGACGATAAAAGCCCACAGCATCACCTGGCCCAGCAAACAAAAACTTGGACAAGTGTCTGCAGTGGCGCCATACACAATAGCCCACGACTACAAACACCATCGTCCATCAACAGATGACTGGCCAAACAGGGCATGTCAATAAGAAGCAAAGCAGGCTGCCTACCAGGCGAACTGGCTCGGCCGCCAAAGCAGTAATGAACCCCAAAAACATGGTGTTGTGGAGCCCAGTGGGACACCTGCTGCCCACATCCCAGGGCCTGGGTTGAACCCCAGCTCTGTTCTGACTCAGCCGCCTGCTCGTGTGCAACCCGGGGAAGCAGAAGGTGATGGCTCAGGTCCTTGGGTTACTGCCATGATGTGGGAGGCCTGGATGGAGTTCCTGGCTCCTGGCTTCAGGCTGGCCCAGCCCTGGTTGTTGTGCACATTGGGGAGTAAGGACAGGAGATTTTTCTCTGTCTCTCCACCTTTCAAGTAGCCCAGGGTCCAGCACATTAGCCTATCAGCTAAAGTCCTCGCCTTGCACATGCCGGGATCCCATATGCCAGTTCGTGTCCCGGAGGCCCCGCTTCCCATCCAACTCCCTGCTTGTGGCCTAGGAAAGCAGTCGAGAATGGCCCAAAGCCTTGAGACCTTACACTCACACAGGAGACCTGGATGAAGCTTCTGGCTCCTAGCTTCAAGTCAGCTCACCTCTGGCTGTTGCAACCACTTGGGGAATGAATCAGCAGATGGAAGATCTTCCTCTCTGTAAATTTGCCTTTCCAATAAAAAAAAAATCATAAATCTTAGAAGAAAAAAGAAGAAACACTGTGCCGAGTCAACAACAGAAGCCAGTCATGAGGGCTGAACCTTGCACGCTGTCATCCTGCAGTGCCCGCTGGGCACAGGGCACCAAGCACCAGTGGTCAGCCGCTGAGCCTGCCGCCCACTTCCACGAGCTGCTCATGAGAGAACACCGAGCTTGCCACGTGCTCTGTGGTGAAAAGGCTACCTCTGCCCTCCGCTCTGTCTCCAACAGGCTGGTCCCCACCTACCCTGGAGTTCCTGAACCCTCTGGGGGCTCACACCGCTGCAGGCTTGCCAAAGAGCAGAGCCAAGGGGTCCTCGGCCACAGACGGCTCACACCTGTGTGCCGGCCACAGCCCTGCACCCCTGCGCCCCTGCGCCCCTGGTCTGAAGGTGCCCGTTCTGATGGGCGGGGCACAGACAGATGGAAGATTCCTGGGAACTGAAGTCCGGGCAGCAAAAGCCGCTGCCTCCTTCACTTCCTGGGCTTCCCCGCAGCCCACTCCACAGGCACAGACAACAAAGGCCTTGCAGGGTGCCCGGAGGGGAGGGCCGCTGCCACTCCCCCACGGGACTCCTGGGCACAGCTCCACTGGCCTGACCCCTGAATTGCAGCAATCAATGAAAACACTCAGGGGGCCCCAGCTCCTGACCACAGCAGCCAGGAGCCCAGGGCTGGGACAAGCCAGCCCCCCGGCCAGCGCCCACATCTTCTGCTTTGATGGGGCTAAGGCAAGAAGAAACCAAGAGAGCTTTTTACGAGAAGCCCACGTAGGTCGCTGAGACGACACAGGAACTTGACTCATTCTCAACTCCCCCATCGCCTTCCCACCCAACAGCTGTCCATCAGCCGGTCCTGCTGCATTCCCTCCAAAACATGCCCCCCCGCCCCAGCCAGGCCGCGGGATCCTGGTGCCCAGGCCACCTGCTTGGACCAAAGCAGGGGTCGCCTCACGCCTCCTTGCTACCGCCCTGGCACCACTCTGCTCCCCAGGGAATCAGCTGCCTCTTTAGGGGTTACACCTGACCCTGCAGCTCCGGTGTGCCAAGCCCTCCATGCCCCCTATTCAGCTTCCAGTCAACACACATGCCCAGCAGGGGTTTTGGCGAACCAGCTCCCTGCCTAAGTCTCAGCCTCACCTCCCTGGGGTGAACTCGCCC